TTTAAATTGTTTTTAACATGTTGTAATTTTAGTAAATTTTTTTTTTTTTTTTATCCTCACCCGAGGATATTTTTCCATTTTTTTTACAGATAGAGTGGGAGGGAGAGAGAGGAAGGGAGAGAGAGAGAAACATCGACGTGAAGGGACACATCGAGTGGCTGTCACCGCACGACCAACCAGGGCCGGGGACAAACTGCAACCGAAGTACACGCCCTTAGCGGGAACCGAACCCGGGTCTCTCCGGACCGCAGGCCGACGCTCTAACTGCTGAGCCAAAATTTTTTTTAGAGAGAGAGGAAGGGAAAGAGAATCATTTTGTTGTTCCACTTATTTATACATTCATTCGTAGGTTCTTTTTTGTTTTTTATCCTCACCCGAGGACATTTTTCCATTTTTGTTCAGATAGAGTTGGAGGGAGAGAGAAGGAGAGGGAGAGAGAGAAACATCGACTGAAAGGGACACATCAAGTGGCTGCCTCCTGCACAACCCCAACTGGGGCCAGGAACAAACCGCAACCAAGGTACATGCCCTTAGCAGGAACCGAACCCGGGTCACTCTGGACCATGGACCGATGCTCTAACTGCTAAACCAAACGGGCCAGGGCAATATCTCATTGTTTTAATTTGGAATTCCCTAATGACATAAGATGTTGAGCGTCTTTTCATATGCTTATTTGTTGCATCTGTATGTCTTCTTTGGTGAGGTATCTATCTAAATCTTTTGTCCAGTTTTAAATTGGATTGTTTGTTCACTTATTGTTGAATTTTAAGAGTGCTTTTTATATTCTGGATACTGGTCTTTCATCAGATTTTTTAAGAGTTGTTTTTTTATTTTATTGATTTTTTTTTTCACTGAATTTACTGGGTTGACATTGGTTCACAAAATCATATAGGTTTCATGTGTACAACAACAAAATATCCTCTGTACATTGCATCATATGTCCATGCCCCCAAGCAAAGTCTCCTTCCCTCCCCATTTCCCACCCCTCTTTGCTCACCTCCACCTACCACCTCTTTCCCTCTGGCTATCACCATACTGTTGTCTGTGTCTATGTGTGTGTGTATATATATATTTAATTTTATTTTTTGCTTAATCCCTTCACCTTCTTCCATCCAGCCCCCCAACTGCCCTCCTCTCTGACAGCTGTCTGTTTCATGTATCCATGCCTCTGTTTCTATTTTGTTCTGTTTTTTTTAGAAAATATTTTCTCCTAGTCTGTGACTTGACATTTCATTCCCTTAATAGTGTCTTTTGCAGAACAGACGTTTTTAACCTACATGAAGTCCAACCGACGAATTTACTCTTTCATGTATTAAGCTTTTGGTGGTGTATCAATATACTCATTGCCAAACCCAAGCTCACCCAGATTTTCACCTATGCTGTCTTCTAGACATTTTATAGTTTTACATTTAGGTCTACGATCCATTTTGAGCTAATTTGTATGAGAGGTGTAAAGTCTGTGTCTAGATTCAATTTTTGCATGTGGATGTCTAGTTGTCCCAGCATGAAATCTGAATTTTGGTAATTCCCAGCATGAAATCTGAATTTTTGTGAGAAGTGTCCTGAAATTTTTTTTTTTATCCTCACCCGAGGACACTTTTCCATTTTTTGTTCAGATAGAGTAGGAACGAGAGAGAGGGGAAGAGAGAGAGAAAGAGAGAGAAACATCGACGTGAAAGGAACACATTGAGTGGTTGCCACCAGCATGACCAACCAGGGCTGGGGACAAACTGCAACCGAGGTATGTGCCCTTAGTGGGAACCGAACCCGGGTCTCTCTGGACTGCAGGCTGATGCTCCAACTGCTGAGCCAAACTGGCCAGGGCAGAAGTGTCCTGAATTTAAAGGTTGGAGATTATATATATGGTGGTAGTGGTAGGGGAGTAACCAAGTTCCCTCTCCCTTAACACATGTGTAGGGTATTTTTTCCATTTTGGATCATCTCTGTCTCTCTCATCCCCCTTATCTGGAATGCTCTTCATCCACCCATATAATCTTACCTAATGCCTGCCTCACATTCTGTCTACTCTACCTTTCCCTATACTTTGACTGGTGCGTGTACTCAGCAGATACTCAGTTAATAGTTGCTGAACTCTAAATATATTTAACAATCAGCACTGCCATATACCACTGTCTTTCCTCCTTAGTCAGACTGTAAACTCTTGGGAAGCCAGGAATCTTTTTCTCATTTACTCAAGGTAGCTTAGCATAGACCTGGGCACAAAGTAGGTAAGCAATACTTGCTGACATTTTAGACTAGCTGGACTTTGGTCCTGGCTTACCAAGTATCCTTTGATCTTCAGGAGGTCTAGCTGAGGACCTGCTAAAGATTTCAACCCTGCAGCCTTGCCCTGGCATGGCTAGATTGGTGGCATCTCTAATTTTGATCCTGACTTAGTATTATGCCCACACAAACAAGAGGGCCCTGATCTCCTTGGATAATTAGCAAACATTTACCAATGATACAGCAAAATGTAGGCTCTGAAGTACCAAAGGGTGCTGAGTCACAATGTGTTTCTTTCATTATGATTGTTACACGGTCATGGTGACCATTCCAGTCATTATAAAAATAATGAAAAAACAAATGAATAAAATAAAAAGAACAGACAGTTTTCTGGTGACTAGTTTCCCACCTTAGGCCCAATTAGTAGTTGAGCTAATGGTAATCCCCCATCCCTGATTTTGTGTTGTGTTTGCATTTGCATCATTACACGTTCCCATTCAAGGACTTCTGTGCACTTCACAGTGAACAACACTGGAGGGAATGAAAGGGTTCAAAACTGAGGCTGAGACCCACTGGTCCCAGTGGTTGTAACTGAGCCCAATCACCACAGCTCAGTGTGCTGACAGACTTCACAGAATCCATTTTCTCAGGGAGTGTACTGTGATTTCTGTTTGCCAAGACTACCCAGCTTGTGCCCATGGCCCACTCAGGCAAATCCTAGGCAGAAAACAGTGGGGAGGCACAAACTGGAGGACAGCATCTCTATGCCCTGGGTGTCAGAAATGTCCCAGAAGCCAGTGCAGAGCCTGCAGGACCTCTGCCTGGCCCTCACTCAGGGCGTGGCAGACTCGGGTGTCAGCGCTGACACCTGACTCCTCTGCCTCTGGAACAGCCTTCCATGAGCTCAGGACTCACAGGTGTCAGTCAGATCTTCACACAGCTTGGAAGGACCCCAGTCCTGTTGGAAACATACTCCTACCTCTAATCCTCCTCCAAAGAAAAATGGGTAGTAGAACTGTTCCTGGCATCCACCCTCCCTTCCCTGGGAAAGCTGCCCCCACAAATCTGCAGCATGCAGGGAACAGTCTCCTGGATGGCATGAACCGGATGGAGTCACCCCGCAGTGTTTTTTGTAAAACAAATCACTAGACAACTGAAAAATTAAAAGCCCAAGCCTCCTCTATCCAGGACCTGTTTAAAAGGCATACTCCTCTCCACCCCACTTTCTACTTAGCTGCTGAAGCAGCCTCTTTGGACACACTGTACTCAGCAGCAATTCAGGGGGCTCCCAGCTCTCAGCTGCTGAAAGCAAAGATTAAAGACTACTACTTGGTATTGCGGCTAGAATCAGAAGATGTTAAGCAACCTGGGCTAGAAATTCAACCTTGCTCAGGCTGAGCAACAAATCACTTCAGCCACTAGTAGGTACAGAGATTGAACAAAATGGGGAAAAAACAAACTAGAATCTCCTCAATATCTAGGAGCACCTGAGAAAGCCACAGGCACATGAGCAAGACCAGCCATGGGGAACCAGAGGAACGCACTGCCCATAACCTGAACAAGTTAAATTATTTTGAGCTTTTAAGGCATGGGTCCACTTCTTGGTGAACAAACATGACCAAATAACAGGTAAGTCATTTAACTTCCTGAATATCAAGGTAGAATTTAAAGCCAACAACTAAAATGTGAGCTGACTGGCTTAACGTATGATTTCTTCAAACACTGTTACTGCATTTTCTGTATAATTACCTCTTAAGTCCATTTTAGAGTCATTTTTCCTCCCAAACCTTAATATCCCTTAGTCTCTTCTGAGACAAAAACTGTTGGACCCATTTTGCACATCTGTAAATATCTTAAAGAGGTAGAACGCCAAGGTGTGTTTGTTCGTGAAACCACAACACAGAGGGGGCAGGAAAAGGCTCTGCTCTCCCGGTGCCTCGCCAAGTGAAACAACGGCCCTGAAAGCAATCTGTGGCTGAACCACAAACTATTTTCACTAGAGAAAGGCGAAGTCAACTCTGCCTTTCCTGGGTCTTATACAACTGCAGCCTGAAAGTCCAGCTGTTCTGGTCATGGCCTCACATTCTTTCCGCAAAGGCTCTAGTTGACACGATTTATAGGGTGGTCCGAGGAAGCATGCTAAGCAATGTGGGATGAAACCACAAGGGAGGACTTTCTGGCCCTAACAGAATAGATCTCATTTCTGTGGAGGTTTGGACAAGTAACTCCAAAACTGCCTGTCTTGGCTGTTAGGGGTGCTCCATATCCAAGAAGGAAGGAATAATGGTGCTTCTCTTTTATAGTTTCTGGTATGTGATCTCAGTCACGCTAAGGTTGGAGGATCTGAAGACTCAAAGGCCTACTAGGGGGCGCTCTTTATTCTGGAACTGAACATTCTCAACATAGTCAGGGGGAAGGGAAACCAAGACAACATGAATGAAAGAAACAGACTTGGCTAGTGATCTACTGAGCTACTACAGGGACTGGATGTTCGTAAAGCCAAAAGAAATAGCTCTTCATGCCCAGCAGCCAGCACAGGCAATAGCCATCACCAAAGCCATCTCAGCAGGATGGTAAATCATAGATCACCAAGGACAAGAAGCAGTATGTTACAAATAATGATTGACCCATAACAAACTAGCCAAGCTCCAAGTTTAGGGAAGTTTAAATCATGTTCATAGGACAGTGCTCAAAGTCAGAATGGGCCTGAGAGCAAATTCTGGGAAGAACGGTTGACCAAGGGCCTGCTGTGGCAGGTAAGCGAACATCATACTTACAGTGAGTTGGGCCGAGTGGGTTTGAGCACATCCAGGTCTGGGTCACTGGAGTTCATGTTGGGCTGTAAGCTGCTGCTAGAATTAAGGATGCTGTTTGCATTTGATGAGACGACAGATTCCAAACTGGAGTTAATGATGCTGTTTCTTTGTTCCTCTGGGGAAAAAGAAGGCCATAGCCCCACATTAATATTATTCCATAGGGATAGTCTGTTCCCACATATATAAAAATTTACAAATATTGAGATTTCATTGAGATCTCTGGGCCCAATGAAGCTAAAAATAGGACATAGGAAAGGATAAGAATTATAAGTGGGAAAGGAAGTCAAAGGGGAATAAGTGACTTGAAATTTTAGAGCAAAACCCATTCTTTACTTGATGGGGCATACTCCCCTTCCTCCCTTTAATTTGACCAGCCTTTTTCCTAAGAGTGGCTCTACCACTGCACGTAAGTTGTGTCTTTTGACTGGCAGATGGTCAGAACACAGAGCAGCCTTCATACAGCCCTTTCTTTCAACCAGATCCCCTTGGTTTCTGTGACATTCACCTTTTATTCAAACACTCCTCTCCCCAATATTGTCTAAATTGCCCAGGCCACAGCCTACCTCTGTAGCACATCACCATGAAATTCTACTATTTGGTCATCTACTTCCTTGTGACTCTGCAGTCTAAATTCCTGACATTCCCTCTGGGCAGCTTTAGTTCTATGTAATTGATGTTTAGTTTCAAGTTAGTTCTTTGATAAATAGATATGTAAGTTTGCATATAAAAATCTGAATCCATGCTCCAAGCAGTCATATTAATGCTTGGAGAACACTACCAGGCCAGGAGAGAGAAACCTGAGTTTTCTTCAAGGCTCCACCCTGACTGGTAGTATGGCCTCGGACAATTTTCACTCTCTCTGTTTCTTGGCTAATGCATCAATACAATGGGGAGTGTGAGCTATCATGAGGACCAACTGGGATTATATGCTGTTCAGAACACTGCTCCAAGAAAACAACTTTCTGTTTCTTACCATCTTTAAAAACTTGGAACCATAGCCTGAAGAAAACATTTTTGGTTGATTTAGTTAAATGACGCAGGTACCACTGCTGTAGCAAAACAGTGGAGATTTAGAATGTCATTTCTGAGGTTTGAGCAATCAATTCACTTATCAAGAATCATATCTGGGTTAATCGTTACCCGACCTTTTTTAAATGAACCAGAGATGTACCATATGCCTAAGGAGACAGACTAGGCTCGTTGACATGGTAGTTTAAAGGTTGACATTTGAACTCAGGTGTCTTTAGGCAATAAATGGGGTGATGTCATGATAAAAAATACTTTTCCTTTTGCATTAGTCATGTCCCTAAAAAGTATATTATACTTATGAAATGAGCTTAATTAATATTAATTAATGTGAATATTAGATTAATATTTATGTTATACACACGCGTACTCCAATGAACCCTAATAGCTTGGCAAATTCTCAATGTCATGTATAAAGTCCTACAGAAGAGTTAAAAACCCCATGATGCTATTAGGAGTTTCCTGAACTCTAAGATTTTGAAAAAAGTAGATTTTAAAGTTGATTCCCGAGATGTAGAACTATTCATATTTTAAGAGCTTCAACTCCAAACAGAAACAACAAAGAAAGAGAAACCAAAAGAATTACATTGAGCCAAGATGTAGGCCGACTAATAGGGCCTGCAAATGGGAACTTGCTAGTGGGAAGAAAAACAACTCTAAAATTACATCATTAGGGGATCATCAAGAGAATGGATTTGCCACTTCTCAGTATGAATCAGTGTAAGTGAAATTTTCCTTTGCACCAAATACTCATATCAAGATTTATGCAAGATGAGGAGGAGCCCAAGACCACCATGTGAAAAAGGGGAATAAAGATGACACTTCTTTAGTGTTCAGTGGAGATATTTTCTGCCTTTTATGGGAGGAGAGATTAATAGTTTTATTCATTCTAGTTTGAGGCCAGGTTTGGATGACATAATTCTCTGAATTCATAGGAAATAGAAGAGTATAATTGTAGCTCATATTTCTATTGTGACTTGACTTATCAATGAGAAGGTTATGACTCTATAAATTAAAAACAGTATCTTGCTAAAAGTGTATTGGTTTTTCTAAAATATTATCAGGACTTTTTTTCTGCCTTACTATCTATTAGAAAAAGAGTATCTGAGATGATACTTTCTTCTTCAATTTTCATTTATTCAGTGAATGTTTATTGAGTACCTACTGAGTAGCAAACACAGTACTCAGCTAGCAGACCCTTAAATTAATTCCTTGGTATTTTATTCAGATGCATACTAGTGTACTTATTAACTTGCACATATTTATTTGTTTATATGTTTACCTTCTTTGGTAGATTATGAGCAACCTAAGATTGGATATTTGACAGATAAAACTTTGAAATCACAACAGAAAAATCCATTATATAAAGATGCTTTGCTTTATAAAATATTTTATCAGAATCCTAATGCTCATAAAAAGATTTGATTCTGAAAACTACACTTAGGTAAAGATTTTAAGAACACATCTACTATTACAGTTTTATTGACTGGGATTCTCCATGATCTAACAAGGAAGGCTACTACATATGGAACATGATATGTGTCTGAAGTAAACCCACAAGGGAGTGAGGATGGGGTAGAAAATGAGAACTTCACCCTCCCTGGACTAGAAAAGTCAATAGACTAAAACAGGTGGCTACCCCCAAACTGAGCTTGAGGATTCCTAGTATTCCCTTTACTGAAGGACATCAGAATTTTTTTTGAAGAAATAAATTCTTTTTTGAGGTTCTATTTTGACTTGTATTTAGATATCTAGTACCATTCACATATGTTATAACCTATAACAAAAACAAAAGATTAGAGAAAAGACCATTGTCCAAGAAGAAAATAAATAACTAATCATAAGATTTCATAGTTTTGCAGCCAAGACAGCCAAATATGCATGCTAAAAGGCATCTTCTCTACTGGTCTCTCATGTGATAGAGAAAACTAGAAATCTGGCTCTCTCTCACTGCCAGACCATCACGGTTTTATTTGATGTGAGACCTCAAGTAATGAGACTGACAACTTCTAGCTGGATACTTCTAAGCTGAAATGCTGAAAGTCTTTACTGGGGATTATTCCAGAGACAGGGGAGCAAGTAAAATCAAATGTTTTAGTAGTTATGGCAAACTCTACAGAAACCAATTCTAAAGCATTTGGAATGGATTAAGAAATAAAGAGAAAATGATTCAGTAATGTCACCCAAACCAGGAGGATGTTTGTCAGGTGGGCAAATGAGTCCTTGCCCCTGACAGAAAAACATACTGAGTATAGGCAGCCTAAATGACTTTTAAACAATAAAAATAAAATAAACCAAGTCGTTCAAATATGAGCAAGCTGACTTCTTTGAGTCACTGATGATTCAGATCAGCTCTGCATCCTCATAAGAAGATACAAGAAGGACTGATGGCAATTACATTGCCGAAGAAAAAAATTACAGAGTACTGGACTGGAAAAGAAAAACAACAACCAGTTATGAGTCAAATCACCAAGATCACAGAGATCCGTTTAAATGACCAAAAGAGAAAAAAATGCCCACAACTCAGGAGTATTCCTAAACTGATGGAAGCCAGAGAAAATGTTTGCCTTCCTCAGACATGTTTGTCAACAAGAATCTCTCTTCACATTAGTTGCTGAAAAGAGCCCAGAAACAAGGAACTGATACCAAATCAATCTTCAAATAATTGTAAACATGTATGGGTAATGCATTGGATGTTTTCATGAACAAATATGTTCTATGAGGAGTGACAAATTGGTTGTGGAGTTGGTCCTTAAAAATAAAAACTACTCAAGGGCTGGGGCATGTCTGCTCAAGTAAAATACATCAGCATCTGTTACAGTGACCTGTGAGGTCAGCATCAGCTCATCCATTCCTGCCTAGTCCATGCACAGCATTTGCTAAAGCTCCATGAATAAGTATAAGCTAAATAATAAATATAAGGCAACAATAAACAATCAAAATGTGTTTTCCTAGCACAGAAAAAAGGCAGTTTTGTGAGACTGAATTTTTCAGGTGTTTCAGACAGGGACCACTAATGTCCTTGAAAACAAAGTCCTGGTTAGAGTGGGCAGTGTTTTTTGTACAAATCAGGAGCGGAAAAACATGCGTATGCAACAAAATCACTGCAACTAAAAAAAGAAAGCCACAGAGTAATTTTGGTGATATTGTACTTGTTCTGGGGGTTGCCATGGAAATCTGGGAGCTAAGCTACTTCACTTTCCATATTTACCAAGTGACTCCTGCTCACTCTAAATGACAACCCCATCACACACAAGAGGCAGGGTCTCTGTTTACCACAGAACCCAAAGGCAAGGCCAGGAATGCACACGCAGAGCTAAGCCAAATTCACACGTCTCGGCAGGCCTGAACACGTCTGGTCTACTGAACACACAGAGCTGAAGAATAAATATGAAACACAGACCTTCGACATCACTTTGGGGTATATTTCCCACCATGTATGGATGTCTGTCAGAATATAGGGTATCATTTCATCCTTTCTTGATGTCTGAGACTAGTTGTCAAAAACAAGAGGGAAGCTGACTTTCTTAACAGCATCCCATGATACATTGCAGAGCCTGAAGGAGGGAACTCTCTTTCAACAGGATCAAAAACAGGGAGAAAGGGAATTGCCAGACAGACGGAAGTTCTGTAGAGACCCAGGGCTTTATGCAAAATATATTAAAGCAAAAGCAAAATACTCAAAGGCTTTTCTGTATTGCAGTGGGGAGAGAGGTGTACTTTCTCCTGGCTTGTTAAAATTTTGCAATGAAGTCTGCAATGTATCATCTTGACAAGATAGGATGATAATAGCGTGGCAGCTTAATGAATTTTGCAATAAAAAATGATGAGTGCACAGCAATTTCAGAGTTTACCATCTCTGGGAAACACCCAAGTCCACGGGAAGCTTAGAATCAGACTTTCTGAAGCAATTTTGTTTCCCTGTAACTTTGCTTTTGATAATAATGGCTTGCCAAGCCACAATAAAATCTGAGGTGGTCTGATTTCCTGCTGACCCAGCCTCAGTCCCTATGATAAAAATAATCTTAAAAAGCAGTTTGGGCAATGTGTTGGAACACATGAATACAGTTTGGGCAATATTTTAAAAAA